ATAAATAAAATAAAAACTCAGAGATTCCGGATTCCACTCAGTCTGGGAAGGGAGTGCCCAAATAACACCGATTATGTTGGAAGAGTCTACGACCATCTTGCTAAGCTGTCCTGGAAGGCTCTGAGCCTGGATGCAAACTCTTCCTCCCCCCATCAGGTGGAGACGAAATTAGAACAGAAGGAAGATCAGAGACTGTTCTTTGCTCATGAGCAACGGGGGGCGGGGCTGGCCCGGCCCGGCCCGGCCGGGGAACACGGGGCACGGCACCCAGCGGCCCCCCTGAAGGGAGCGGCCGGCCTCTGGCTCCGCCTCGCGGGGAAGGGCCCCCTCGGCTTCTAGCGACGAGGCGGCTGGTGGCCAAGGCCTGGGGTTAGGGCCGCGGAGACTGCGCGCCGCCCCCCGGGACACCGCTGCGCGCGCACCCCCCCCGGACACCATTGTGCGCGCGCACCCCCCCCGGGACACCATTGTGCGCGCGCACCCCCCGGACACCATTGTGCGCGCACCCCGCGGACACCATTGTGCGCGCACCCCCGGGACACCAGCGCCCACCCCGGACACCATTGTGCGCGCGCACCCCCCGGGACACCATTGTGCGCGCGCACCCCCCGGGACACCATTGTGCGCGCGCACCCCCGGACACCATTGTGCGCGCGCACCCCCCGGACACCATTGTGCGCGCGCACCCCCCCCGACACCATTGTGCGCGCGCACCCCCCGGGACGCCATTGTGCGCGCGCACCCCCCCCGGGACGCCATTGTGCGCGCGCACCCCCCCCGGACACCATTGTGCGCGCGCACCCCCACGGACACCATTGTGCGCGCGCACCCCCACGGACACCATTGTGCGCGCGCACCCCCCCGGGACACCATTGTGCGCGCGCACCCCCCCGACACCATTGTGCGCGCGCACCCCCCCGGGACACCATTGTGCGCGCGCACCCCCCCGACGCCGCTGGCGAGGAGCCTGCCTTCAGCCGGACCCCCGGGCCCTTGGCTCTCAGCGGGAAGGGGCCTGAGGCCTGGGCTCCCCCCACCACAGGGGGGCGGGGCCAGGCGCTGGACGCCTGGGTTCCTGTCTCCTTGCATCCCATGCCGGGTCAGTCTCTCAGGTGCCACGAGCCTCCTTTCCTTTTTTCTCCCACCCAACCCCCAGGCAAACGTGACCTTTGACCCCCCCCAGGAAAGCCGGCCTGCCAGAGGGGGTCACAGGAGTCTGCGCAGGCGCACGCTCCCGCGAACGAGCCTCTCCCCACGCCCCGAAGGGCGGGGCCAACAGCCCACTCCCAAGGGTTGAAATCCCAGCGGCCTATTGGGTCGGACAGTTATCAATCAAACAGCAGCGAAGCCCTATTGGCTAAAAACGTGACATGCCGGGCCCGGGCCGCAGCTTGAGTCGGTTCCTCCGGCCTCCGCGGGGGGCGCTGTTTTCCCGCCGGCGGGACCCCTCGGCGCGGCCGCCGGGCTAGCGGCATTTCTGCTCGTCCGACCCCAGCCCCGCCCCGCGCTGCGCAGGCGCAGGAGACCGCCTCTTCGGCCGGCGCAGGGGAGGAGGTGCCGGAAGCGCGACCTTCCTGCGGGGCGCGCGCAGTCGACGCACCTTAGCTCCGCGCTGAGGCAGCTGGCGCGCATGCGCCTGAGCGGGGCGCCGCCGCGCGGCCCCGCGCCGGGGCCGGATTCCTGCCGCCGCGAGCGGCGCTTCCCGCGCGCCTGGGTGCGGGGCCGGCCCCGGGGCTGCGGTTCCCTCCCGCGGCCTCTCGCACGCGCCTGGGTGCGGCGCCGGGGCCTCTCGGGGCTGGAAGGGCCCGACCCCCCGCCCAGGGCAGGGCCGACCCCCCACAGTTGCCCCAGACCCCTCAGTGGCCCCTCCGGGATCGAACTCGGGGCCCGGGGCCCAGCAGCGGCGCTCAGACCCCGGGGCCCCCCGGGCAGGCCGGCCGGGGGCAGGCAGGCTAGTTTCCCTCTGGCGCCGCTCGGTGGGCGAGGTTCGGAGCCGGGTGCCGCGCTCCGGGTCCAGCGGGGCTCGCCGGGGCTCTGGGGCGGATCCTGTCCGGCAATGCCCCTGCTCCGCCCTTAATCAGACCTCGGTCAGGGTCCTGTGTCCGCAAAGGCCCTCTGAAATACGAGGGAATGCTAGGAAGAGGATTGCACCTTTCAGCCCCACCGCTTACTAATATATTGCCTAGGATGCAGCGTGACTGGCACTGCAGCAGAATATTTAATTCAGCGCTGTCATATAGATCATGTTCACTGTTCCCTCTAAGCCGTGTGTGCGTGCACACAGATCCTAAACCCCGCGCGTGGCAAAACACTGTGCACACAAAACTTTGCACAGAAGAAAATTTTTGGCCACCCAGCCTGTCAAAAATTAGGGGGAACATTGATCATGTATGCAGTAGTTGCATGTATCTTAGAAAATAAACCTAACAGCATAATCCCCAGGTCCAAAGTTTGTGTTAACTGGAATCACAGTAGCAAGATCACATGGTTACCTTGGCGGTGTGGGTATCTTATCCATTTAAGTGCTGAGTTATCACAGAAGAAGTGTCTTATGATGGAGAGACTTGAATGAAGATAGGGTAGTAGGCTGATTACTTCTGGATAAAGAGCAATTTAAGAACAAAAGAATGGCCACACTAGGTAAGACCAAAGGTCCATCTAGCCCAGTGTCCTCCCTTCTGACAGTGGCCAATGCCAGGTGCCCCAGAGGAAATGAACAGAACAGGGAATCAAGTGATCCATCCCCTGTTGCCCATTCCCAGCTTCTGGCAAACAGAGGCTAGGGACACCATCCCTGCCCATGCTGGCTAATAGCCATTGATGGACCTATCCTCTATGAACTTATCTAGTTCTTCTTTGAACCGTTATAGTCTTGGCCTTCAAAACATCCTCTGGCAAGGAGTTCCACTGGTTCACAGTGCATTGTATGAAAATATACTTCCTTTTGTTTGTTTTAAACCTGCTGCCTATTAATTTAATTTGGTGACCCTTATTTCTTGTGTTATGAGAGAGTAAATAACACTTCCTTATTTACTTTCTCCTTATTTATTATCAGTCCTTACAGCATATACTGTACCATAAGGCAGGGCATTGTGCTGTACTGACAGAATAGTATAACAAAATCATAATACTTGTCATGTGGCCCAAAGGTTCTGAGTTGTTCCCTCCTCAGCTGAACCTCAGGGCTACTGGTATCTTTCCTCAGCTCCAGAGGACCTTGACAATCTTGGCAGATGAGCCCAGATACAGCTTGATGCAGATGAGAGAGGACCGGAATACCTTCCTCTGCACAGCACCTGCAGGTGGCTCCAAAGCTCCTAGGTCAGAAAGCTCTACCTAGCAAGAGTCTGTCTAGACTCAAAAATGGATGCAAAAAATAAAAAAATTTAATATACCAAAAAAAACCCAAAACAAAGCCTCTTACTTTCAGTCTGTCACAGGGGCGGGCAAACTTTTTGGCCCCAGGGCCACATCTGGGAATAGAAAATGTACGGCGGACCATGAATGCTTACAAAATTGGGGTTGGGGTATGGACTCCGGGGTGGGGCCGGAAATGAGTTCAGGGTGCAGGAGGGGGCTCTGGGCTGGAGCAGATGAGTGGGGTGCGTGTGTGTGAGGGTTCTGTGGTGGGGCTGGGGATGAGGAGTTTGGGGTGTAGGAGGGTGCTTCGGGTTGGGATCGAGGGGTTCAGAGGGTGGGAGGGCGATCAGGGCAGGGGGTTGAGGTATGGGGAGAGGCTCAGGGGTGCAGGCTTTGGGCGGTGCTTACCTCAAGCAGCTCCCAAAGGCAGCAGCATGTTCCTCCTCTGGCTCCTACATAGAGGTGTGGCCAGGCGGCTCTGCACGCTGCCCCGTCCGCAGCCCATTGGAGCGCTTAGGAGCCGTAGGGGGGCCATGCCTCTGCTTCCAGGAGCTGCGTGGAGCGGCCCCCGACCCTGCTTCCCAGCTGGAGCGCTAGAGGGCGGCCAGGCCGTGGTTTCCAGGAGCCACGTGGAACGGCCCCTGACCCTGCTGGAGTGCCGGAGTGGGGCAAGCCCAAAACCGCGCTCCCCAGTGGGAGCTCGAGGGCTGGCTTAAAATGGCTGGTGGGCCATATGCGGCCGTGGGCTGTAGTCTGCCCACCCCTGGTCTATCAGCTGAAATTTGCGTTACTGTATTGGAGTGGCAGGTTCCACCCTCTTTTGTTAGAGCCCCTCCCCAACCAGCTTTTGGAAGGTTTGGAGCTTGTTGCCCCCCTCCTTTTCTCTCTGCTCAAGACAGTTTCTGTTCTTGAGTCAGCTTCACTATCTGCTTTCACCCTCAGCATTTTCTCTTCCATCTTACTTTTTTTTACACGACGCCTGATTGTGCGGCGCATAAAGCCATTAAGAGTTTATTTTTGCTATCTAGTTTCCTTGCTCCCTAAACTTATTAGCATGCAGGCTGTGTCTGCGTTCTGGATTTCCAAAAGTTTCCCCACCGTTACGGGCTCACCTGTGCTAACGCCGCTGTAGGCTGGCCACCGGGACCGTCAGCACTAGACAGGGTAGCAAAAAATGTCAGAGGGGCAGCGCTGGGGCGAGCATGAGCTCGTCCGCGCTTTGGGGCGGTGGCTGTCTTTTTGTTCGGTTTGTACAGCACCGAGCGCAGCGGAGCCCTACTCCATGACTGGGGTGCTCAGCGCGACAGCAATACGGACGCTTTGTCGCCATAATGAATAACAGCAGCCCCACTGGCAACGACAATGGGAAGGCGGGGCCGGGACAAGCCCCACAAGGCCAAACTGCCCCACGGCTTCCACCTTCTCCCCCGCCAATTGCCCTCCAGCCTCCCCCTGCCATGTCCCTGCCCCAGGCCCCTGCCTCCCGCCCTCCTCTGAGGCTCTGCTCACGCCCCCCCCCGCCCCAGACCCGCACTCATGCCCCCGCCCCCCCGCGGCAGGGCAGCAGAGGGCAAAGCCGCGGGGCAGCCGCTCAGCTCAGCGCGCATGCGCGCGGAGGCCTCAGGGCGCGCTCCCGCGCGGTGGCGCAGCGCGCTCCCGCCGGCGGCGCGCGGCGCTGGGAGCGAGGCCGAGCCGGGCGGAGGCGGCGGCTGCGGAGGAGACGGGCGGAAAATGGCGGACAGGTTCTCCCGCTTCAACGAGGACCGGGACTTCCAGGTAACGCCGGCCGCCCGCCCGCCCCGGCCCGCTCCCCTGCGCCCCCCGGCTGGCGCGAATTCGGGACGGAAGGCGGCGATCGCGGGGGGGCTCCCGGCCTCTGCCCCCCCCCGCGGCCGAGCCCAAAGTGGTGGGGGGGGGGCGGCATCTGCGCCCTTGTCCCCCCCCCGCGGCCGAGCCCAAAGTGGTGGGGGGCGGCATCTGCGCCCTTGTCCCCCCCGCGGCCAGCCCAAAGTGGTGGTGGGGGCGGCACTGGCCTTGTCCCCCCCGCGGCCGAGCCCAAAGTGGTGGGGGGCGGCATCTGCGCCCTTGTCCCCCCCGCGGCCGAGCCCAAAGTGGTGGGGGCGGCATCTGCGCCCTTGTCCCCCCCCCGCGGCCGAGCCCAAAGTGGTGGGGGGGCGGCATCTGCGCCCTTGTCCCCCCCGCGGCCGAGCCCAAAGTGGTGGTGGGGGGCGGCATCTGCGCCCTTGTCCCCCCCCCCGCGGCCGAGCCCAAAGTGGTGGGGGGGGGCGGCATCTGCGCCCTTGTCCCCCCCCGCGGCCGAGCCCAAAGTGGTGGTGGGGGGGCGGCATCTGCGCCCTTGTCCCCCCCCCGCGGCCGAGCCCAAAGTGGTGGGGGGGGCGGCATCTGCGCCCTTCTCCCCCCGCGGCCGAGCCCAAAGTGGTGGGGGGGCGGCATCTGCGCCCTTGTCCCCCCCCGCGGCCGAGCCCAAAGTGGTGGGGGGCGGCATCTGCGCCCTTCTCCCCCCCCCGCGGCCGAGCCCAAAGTGGTGGGGGGGGCGGCATCTGCGCCCTTCTCCCCCCCCCCGCGGCCGAGCCCAAAGTGGTGGTGGGGGGCGGCATCTGCGCCCTTGTCCCCCCCCGCGGCCGAGCCCAAAGTGGTGGGGGGGGCGGCATCTGCGCCCTTGTCCCCCCGCGGCCGAGCCCAAAGTGGTGGGGGGGGGAATCGCCTTCTCCCCTCCCCCCGCGGCCGAGCCCAAAGTGGTGGGGGGGGCGGAATCTGCGCCCTTCTCCCCTCCCCCCCGCGGCCGAGCCCAAAGTGGTGGGGGGGGCGGAATCTGCGCCCTTCTCCCCTCCCCCCCGCGGCCGAGCCCAAAGCGGTGGGGGGGGGCGGCAGCATCTGCGCCCTTCTGCCCCCCTTCTTCCTCCGAGCTGCAGCGTGGAGGTTGGGGGGTCTTTGGCCGCTGCAGCTTCCCCCCCCCCCCCGGAGCCCAGCGTGGGGGAGAATTCATCTTTTCTCCCTTTTCTGTAGAGAATCTAATTGGGGAAGGGGAGAGGCATGCACTGGTCTATTTCCCCTTCTCCTCCCCCAGAGAGCCCAGTGTGAGGGGTTTCGCTGCCCTCTGGGGTGTGTGTGGTTGTGGGGGGTCCACACTTCTCCCTTGCGTCCTCAGACTCATAGAGTTCACTAGTCTGTACGCTCTTCCTTGGCTCATTCTGGACCCTTTAGTATGTAGGTATCACCAGCCTCTGCTCCCTCCATCCCTTCCCTCTCTGGCCATGATATTGGAGGATGGGGATCATTGTCTACTGAAGTAGCTTGTGAGCTCCTGGGTCATCTTTCCAAATCCTGGTTTTCAGTCTGAAGAGACAATCCACCTGTCCAGCCAGCGATTCTGCCAGGATGTAGCCTGTGCCTGCAGCAGGCGCACTCGCTGCCTGGAGAGGGTCAGTGTTGATGTGGGGTAGGGAGGGGGTTAGAAATGGTGCTTCAGAAACATTACCTAATCTGTGTTTTTAATTATTTACTTGATGCTTTGTTTGGCTTTTTAGTACTTGATTTTTGTATTGGTTTAAATGTCTGCTGCAGTGCCATGGTAGTGAGATGCTCTATTAATAAAAAGAAAAGGAGTATTTGTGGCACCTTAGGGACTAACAAATTTATTAGTAAATAAATTTACTATTACTATTAATAACATTTGAATGAATGCTATACATTACGTAATCTGAGGACCGACATTGAAATTTCCAGAGAGAAACTATCACTGGGTATGCTTGTCTGTTGATTGAAGTTTCTGGAATGGGGTAAATAATTTAGTTGTTTTTTCTGGAAATGTTAAGCATTCATTACAAAACACTGTATATTAGTTGGTATCTTTCTGAAATGAGCCTTAAAATCTGTCAACACTTGTTCTTTCAAATATCTTACTGTTGAGCAATGTCACTGGAAAATATTGAATAAGACTAACTAGAGTTTGCCTGTTCCCTGCGTAAAATGAAACCCCTGAATCGCAAAGAAACTGCTGCATTACTGCTGCATATCCTGGCAACAGTAATTTGGGTCAGGGGATGAATACTGGCACTCATTTTTTTCCCCCATCAGACTGCAGGTCCTTTTTTTAGAGTGGTATGAAAATAGCTGTGTTCAGGCAACCAGATTAAGCGGGATTTGGGATCTTTAAGTAACTGGGGCAGTAAATGGAAAATGCAGTTCAGCATAGATAACTGTTAAATAAGTCTGACAATGGTAGAGCAAAAGCAAGTATACACAGGAATGTTTATGCAGCATATGGAGCATGAAAACAATGGTTGAAAATCCTTGCAGTCATGAGCCTTCTATAAAAAGGATACTAGAAAATTAACAGAGAATTCAGCTCAAAATAAAATTACTGTGCTTTGTGCCCTAATGTAGAATATGGTCGTTCACTTTTGAATTCTCTTTCATTGGGTGGGGTGGAGAGCTTTTTGTGAAGAAGGTGTAACCTGGGATTGTTATAATTTTTAACATTATACTTAAAGGCTAAAGAGGGGTGAGCTGTTTCTCATCCTAGAGGAAAGAAGTCAAATTATAAAGGAGTTTAATAAAGTGGAACAAGACTTCAGAAATGTAACTTTGCAGATGGAAGGAATTTAAATTAGGAATGGGTACAATTTAAATATTAGGAAATTAAAATTATTGAGGAATTAAGACAAAATTTTTAAACCAATATAGCAAATATATACTGAAACAATTTAAAGGTTGGTAAACATCCTTTGGAAAAGAAAACCTAAACATTGACAGTGACAGTGAAGTTATTCAGAAATTCAGTCATTCAGAAATTCAGTCATTTTAGTTTTCAAAAACCTTCAAAAACAACAGATTAGTATGTGTTTAAACTGGCTTCCTTCTTTGATCATTTTGATTCTATTATTCATGATGAACGCTACCGCAGATCAGGATTTCTAATGAGAGGCTGTTCAGTTTCCGGACTGGGTTACCTAACGTTCTCCTCTGCTTCTCAACTTGTTTCCTGCTTTCATACAGAATGGTATTTACACTTCTATTTGGGGAAATCAAAAAGAAACCTTCCCTGTTTCTCCAGCTATCTTCAGCATGTGCTAAGGTTCCTAACTTAAGGGGAAAGAGCATTCTTTATTCTTGTATAAAAACTAATTGATTCATTCATTCCGTAAAATTAACATTTGCTGCCATGTGTTAAACTGAATTTTTTAATACTGTTTGAAAGTAAATGAATATGTATTTTAAAAAGAAATTGGCATTATTGTTTTGGAGGAAATGATAATTGGTATTCCCTAGCCGAAGCATAATGAAAGATTCTACTTATAATAAAACATATAATAATTATTCAGGGTGAATGACCATTAGAGAGCATATATTGATTAGCTTTTACGTATGAGGTCATCTTTATGTTGATTTAAGGTTCTTGAAATGATGTTTTGCACTTATATAATACTGCCTTTCATCCAAGAAGCCTAAAGCCTGTTTATAAACAGCAAATCAAAACTCACCCAAATCTAGTTAATGCATTAAGATTATTCATTTAAAAACAACAAGGAAATACAACAGTAATTCAGTCATGCTATGTATCTGTATATAATTGTATGTTTTACTACATAAAACATGTTAAGCTATCTGTTTAGAAACAATAAGAATGGAAAATAAAATGTACAAACCTAGTTGACTTGACTTTGCTGTTGGGTTGTCAGCTCTTGCATTTTCTGACTTTTTGTGAATTTTAACCGTGCGCTTTAAATGCTCCACTGACATAGTTTTTTTGCATAATTTCCTTGTTTTCTTTCTCAATTTAAAAATTAAAAATACTTAATATTTAAACAATCCAATTAGACTTTCAAGCCCCTTTCTGGGGGGGGGATGGGTGGGGTGGATTTCAACCTTTGGTTGGAGGCAGATTTCTATTTATCTTTTGAAAACCGTGTAGATTGTGAAAAATATTGCAGAATTCAGCCAAAAAATTGTTCAGACCCTAAAATCATGGGTTCCAGAATTTTTTCTTTGCTTGCAGTTTTCTTGCTTTCCTGTTAAGGGAGAATTTTTGACTTCAGTGAGACAGTTTCCTTCATGAAAATTGTCTCAGCAAGTCCTGTTATTGCTTCATTTTTCTGTTCTTGTCATGCTGTGAAAATGTGTAGTAATGTCAAAAAGGAGGCAGATCTCCATTAACCGTCTGTTAGAATCAGCTGATCATGCTCAGAAATCATTATTCAGACACAATTTTATTTTCCTATAAAACTAAGAAAAGATACTAGTCTTAGATATAGTCCTCACTAATGCCAAGTTTCTAGTTTTTGGTGCAGCCCTGTTTAAAAAATAAAGGGAGGTTAGCGTTATTGTTACAGTGTGGTAGGACTACTTTTCCTAGCCTCTCCCAAAAATTGCAAATTGATGGAGGAATTTTCTCTCATGCCTTTAAACTTTCCATTGGAGGTGGTGGGTGGGTATTAGTTGACTTTGGGAAGAGACCTAGCATGGAATAATTTGGCTCTCAGTTAGAGGTTACAGAAAACTGAGAATATTAAAGTGGATGGCTATAAAGAAAACTATATTCATGGGGTTTCAGAGTAACAGCCGTGTTAGTCTGTATTTGCAAAAAGAAAAGGAGTACTTGTGGCACCTTAGAGACTAACCAATTTATATGAGCATAAATTGGTTAGTCTCTAAGGTGCCACAAGTACTCCTTTTCTATATTCATGGGGGAAAATGAAGTGAAGTGTCTTGGCCAAGGTCACACTGAATTGGTGGTAGAGTGGGGAATATTGCCC